GGACCCACATCACTGAGCAAGGCAGACACAGGGTCTGGACCGCTGAAGAAGGTTCTGCAGCCAGCCAATTCCAGGCCGGAGGCTTTAAAGTGAGGACTGAGTAGGCACCCGAGGTGAGGACTCGCCACAGTGCAGCTTCCAGCCCCACAGCCGCCTGGTTCTCCTGTCGCTTCCTGGCCCATCTGCTGGGCAGGCACAGTGCTCACAAAGACCCTAGGCAGATTCTCTCCAACGGTCAGGGCCCTGGAACATTCAGAGGAACTGAAGTTCTCAGAGCCCACAACCATAGCCACAGATATCCTGTGTTCACAAGCTGCTTGTGTGTGAATCACACCACCTCACTGAAACCCCACACCTGCCCCAGCTGGGGGCACTGGCAGTGCCAGCCCACTTCATGGATGAAAACACAAAAATCATGTGCCCTCCAGTAACACACTGATGAACAACCTGCCCCTCCCTCCCACCCATTCAGTCAGCAACCTTTCGTCCCCTGCTTGGTGTATGTCAGGGCCCTTCTGCTTGTTAGCCCGGGTCACCAGGTAGGAAGCAACTACAGCAGAACATCAAGTCAGGTTATCTGATTTGTGACCTGGCACTCTGACTTGCTGAGTCAACAACCTTCAGAATTGAAGGATACAGGGATGTAGGAACCCCAGAAAGTGTCCAGGGCCATCTGGGGTAGGGAAAGAAAGATAAAACAGTATGGCTCCTATGTGTGTCCTGTGCTTTTTCTATTTTTGCTGGAAGTTCTATAAGTAGCATCTCACTAGGAGAGCAGCACAGGCACCAATAACACTATGTAGGTATCATGTGCAAGTGGTGAACACGCACACACACACACACACACACACACTACCAGACATGGGGCACAGCAGACACCACTGGTATCCTGCAGCTTCGGGGAGGGTGCATTCTGGCTCTTGCTATAGAGCTGGGGACAGGGACTCAAGACCCCAAGTGCCCAGGCTCAAGACCCGCCCTGCCCCTTCCAGACACAGCCTCTCAGTCAAGAGCCTCACCTCGAGGATCTAGCGCATAGCCCCGCAGATTCTAACACTGTCCGAATTAAGCCCATCCACCACTCTACAGAGCTAGAGAGCCTTGGGACCTCATCTGACTGACACTGCTTTAAGGCTGGAAGAGCCTCAACTCTCTGTCAAATCTAAGGCCAACAAAAGGGCAGAGGGCCTTTAATTTGGCAGCCTGGAGTGACACGGTTCAACAGTGAAGGATGATTGAGGCCGCTTTATCCCCACTTCCTGTGCCTCCCCAACAAGGCCCCACTCAATTCTAGCCCTATTTCACCTCTCCAGCTGCACCTGGAGACGTTATTTGTCCAAAGCAGGCTCATTAAGGCTTGTCCTTAACTCAACACAGACGGCTATGTCTCTGAATGTCACATGTGTTTAGTGAAACTGCTCACTTAATGTACAGCCCTATTTTTAGTATGAGCCTAAAAAAAAAAAAAAAAAGTAACTGTACCACAGCACCTCATTTGTCTCTATTTGTTTACCAGGTTTTGTCCCAGGCCGGCCTGGGGGCCAGGCAGGGAAAGGACCACATCTCTTTTATCTTCATACCCTCAGGGCCTGACACAAAACCAGCATTCAGGGTGATGCTGAAAGAACGGGGCTGGAGCAGGTGTTCTCAAGTTGCCAATAGGCAGCGCCAGGGGCCGGTGCCTCCAAAGGGTTGCAACTCCCTCGGAAAGGGCACAACATGCAAGGGGCAACAGCGTACAGGACAGAAGTGTCTACACGTGCACATGTGTGAGGGAGAAACAGCTGTGGCTCTCACCCCCTACCCAAAGGGCTGAGACCACACCTGTGCAAGGATCACAGAAAGACCAAACAGCAGCCGGGGATCAGGAAGAGCCTGCCTGCCCTTGGACAGGGCAGGACCGGTACCATATGCTTTCGCTTACCAGGAATCCAAAAACGGATGCCCCAGACCTACTATGACAAACCCAACCTGGGACATAGGTGATATGGCACTTCTTGGGGGGGGCAGGAATCTCCAGGGTGCACCTTTCCCTTCAAGGTATCACAGAGTGTAAGAAGCGGGAATCAGAAACTCAGTGAACGGCAAGCATGCACGGGCACCTGACTCCGTGAGCTGTGTGCTAAGAGCAACCCATCTCCCTGCCGTGGTGGGACCAACAGCCACCCAGGACGTCCACAGTGCTGTCCCCGCTCGGCTACCGTGTACTTTTCTGTGCATCTCTAAGCAACTCAATTTGAAAACCGAGATAGAACAGACATGTAATTTCTTAGAAAGATACAGGTTACCCAAAATGACTCCAGTAGAAATAGAAAGTATAAGAAGCCCAGAAGAGAAAGGTACCGAGAAACAGCCCCATAAGAAAGTAACAGAGCCTACTGCGTCCACCGGGAGTTTGGCCATCACTGCAGAAGCCACTAAAGTCGCATCACTTGTTCCTGACCACAGAAACCTAAAGCTGACTGCACACAAAAAGGTCGTTACAGACCAACATCGCTCAGATATTGCTCGGGAAGAATCACAGATGCTGCACTGTGAAACTGATGCCACCACCATAAGAAAATAACACAGTGGCCGAGAAGCAGGCAACCTGTTAATACCAACCAATACAGAAACAGGTCTATGAAGAGCAAAAGAATCATCTGGGTGATGGCAGCGCAGGAGAGCCAACTTCCAGGAAGAAAAGCGACATGAGGGGCTTTGAGAAGCTCCCGTGAGACGCCCCCGCAAGGCGGTGGGTCTGGTTCTGGCTTCTGGGCTGCCTCCTTGTGCTGCTGCAGGGTGGGACTCCCCAAGGACCAATGCTGGCCTTTCTCTTGCCATTGGGTGTGGCCCCAGAGGACAACATCCTGGTGGTGCCTGGGAGCTGTTAGCTCTCACTCAGCCATGAGGTTGGCAAAAGCCAAGAACGGCAACGAGCCATCATTTCACTACCAGGTTCAGAAGCGTAGTTCCCCCACTCCTTAAATGTAGGCTTCACGGAGTAACTTCCTTCCAAAGAGCATAACTGGAAAGGAGTATGGTAGAGAAACCCAACAAACACATCCTTGGCCAGGTGGCCAAGGTCAACACCCACAGTAATAAATCATGTTGACCATATGTACCCTTGATAGGATGTGGTGAAAAGGATATTTCACCTTTGTGTTATTCCTTGCAAAGACCCACAGCCATAGTCTCATAAGAAAAATATCAGAAAGCCCCAAGTGAAGGACAGCCCTCAATAGACCCAACCTGTACCCTTCAGAAAGATCAACGACAAAAAAAAAAAAAGTGAAAATGTGTAGATCCTAGTTAATAAGGTGTCATCTAGGTTCACTACTGATAACCAATATGAAGTGACATACTAATACATAACGTTAATAATACAAGGAAAATGGATATTGGTTATATGGGAAGTGCCTGTGTTATCTTCACAGAAGATAAATAAATCAGAAACTGCTCCAAAAAATGAAATTATTATTAAAAAATATTCCTAGGCTTTTATTGTGGTCATTAAGATGCCATCTGGTAGTTACCAGCGATCACTTGCCAAGAAAAACTATAAAAAGTACCTCCCACCAGATCTGGCTTGGAAACTATTTCCCCGGAAATCCTCACCCTCACCCACACCCCTCAAAAAAAAAAAAAAAAAAAAAAAAAAGCTGATTGTGAAGCTGGGAGGGGTGCAGGTATCAACTCCCTACAAAATCTGATTCTAATCTTAATGAACAGAAGACCCACCACTGATGTGAGCCTGGATCACTTGCAGATTCCTAATTCTATCATTTCAAAGCAAAGGATGCTCTCCAGATTGCAATTCTACAGCACGGGTCTCTTTGCTGGGTAATCACTTCCATCTCCAGCCAAAACACAAAATTATTACTAATTGCCATCTCCAGGGATCCAATGAAGGTGATGCTCAAAGTCAAGGTGGCCCCTCACCCAGGTCGACCGGGGAGCACTCTAAGGAAAAGGTTAATCGGCCCCCACTCAGCTTCCTCATGGTCCTTCCTAGGAAAGGCCACCTAGTCTCTGGGATAGGCCTCCTACGCCCACCAGGGAACGCAGAGCACAAGCTCCTCCTCCCAACCGTGCAGATGCAGACAAGCCTGGAGGCATCTGGAAGTGACAGCAGGCTCGGCCCTGAGCCTGCTCCAGGCATCTGCTGGGCTGGGCTGTCAAAATCAGGAAGCCTGGTTGGGGTTTTTGTTTTTCCAAGACAACCTGCTAACCAGAAAACTACAGAGAGGCTGGGCACAGCCTTCCCCCTCCTCCACTGACCAATGTCCCTGTGAAACACGTGCCATGACACAGGGGCACTGGACCCAGCCCCCAGGGACCCGGGGCAGGGAAGGCACAGGCTGCCCGAGTTCAGGCAAAAACTGCCTGCGCCTTCCCAAGTACCCACTCGACCCCGGCGGGATGTGTGTGTAGCAGATCACCTAGCAAAGCTCAGACCAGTCCCCTTGGGGCTGACTGGTGCACGAAGCAGCAGAACCCAGAGAGGAAATGGGCTGGCTTCATCACACCAAAGCCAAACCACCCAGGCATGAGACTCAAGCAGCCTCTTCCTTAGTTTCAGCAGAAAGTCCCCAAACACCACTGCACCCCTGGGAGGTGTAGGGGCAGCTGTGTCACTCGGGGACGAGGGCAGGAGCTCACTCACCACCCTCTGGGCTTCCACCCTCTCTCTTAACTCCAGCTTTGCTGGCCTTTCTTCCTCCCTCGGCAGGCAGGAACCCTCGCCCACACCACCGCTAACGGCCCACTCCCAGTTGCGGCCAACAGAGTCCTGGATCTGCCTCTTTAGAAGTCACCAGTAACTTGAAACTGACTCCAAAGCTGCAAGAGTCCCTGCCGTGCCCTGTACTGCCTTCCGGCCTCTCGCCTGGGCATGAGGACCCCGCAGTCCTACTCCAGGGCCCCAGGAAGAGTGGCCTGCAGAGCAGAGAGGGGCCCTGTGCCCCCTCGCTGGCCCGCGCCCCGCCCCGGCTCCGGGGCCAGGGGGAGCCCCCACCGACCTTCGAAAGGATTCGCATAGTCATAGTCGAAGAGGATGGAGAAGTCGAACTCGTCCTGGGGGCTGCCCCCGGGCTCTGGGCCTGGGGCGTCCATGGCGCGGGGAGGAGGGAGGGCTGGGGGTGAGGACAGGCGCGGCTGGCTCCTCGGCCCTGGGGGGTGGCGACGGCGCGGGACTGCAGACGGAGAGGAGGCCAGAGCGGCCGGGTCCCTTTCCTCGTGGGGACGCACGCCGGGCAGGGGATGGCGCGCCTGGCGCAGCGGGTCCTGACGCGCCCGGGAGCTGAGCGGCGGCGGCGCAAGCTTCCTGCTCAGGGAGGCACCTGTTGCAGCCCGCGGAGGGGGCGGGGAGGCGGGGACAGGGCGGCCGAGAGCCAGCCCGCGTGGGCACACGTGGCCGAGGCTTCAGCCCGCAGTGGGCCAGCTCCAAGGCAGGGTGGCCTGGCGGGGACAGGGCGGCCGAGCGGCGGGGGCGTGGCGCACCCGGGCACGGGGGAGGGGCGCGGCGGAGAGGGCGGCGGGGTGCCGGAGCCGGAGGCAGGAGGCCGCCCGCCAGACGCACCGTCCCGCGGGCCAGCGCTCGCTCAGGGGCTACTGCCTCCCACCCTCCCCTGGGTGGCCACACCGACCTAAGGTTTACTGGGCACAGCTGCTGCCACTTGTAGTTTTTGTCCTAAGGGAGCCCGCACCGATCTCTTCCTTTTCCTTTTTTCTGCGAGATGTGCCCCTTTCTGCAGACTCCGGCCTCCAGGTGCTTGTCTGCACAGGGTGGCAGGCTTTGCATGCCCCTGACTGCATGCCCTGAACTTCCAGGGCAGGGGAAGCAATCGTAGATCAGATGCTCTGAAAGCAGCTGTCCCCTGGGGGCAGGGGTGATAGAGGAACAAAACAAAGCCCATCAACACCCCGTTCTCTGGGTGCCAGGAGAGAACTCACCAGGGGCCTGGGATCTGTCCACCTGGGGCGCCTTCTGTACCTTGGAGGTCAGGGAAGGCCGCTCTGCAGGGGTAACGTTTAAGGAGCCCTGTGGATGAAGACCTGGTGACAGGGTTCTGGCAGTGAGCTGAGGGAAGAGCAAGAACTGAAGGGCTGCTCCCAGGGGGCGGTGCTCGTGGGGGGCTGCCAGGTGAAGGTGGGCCCGGATGCTTGTTTAAAACAGATTCCCTCTGGAGAGGTCGCCACCCCAAACATCTGGATTATAGACTCAGGAATGTGAGCCAGCAATCAATAGGAATGCTACAAAGAGGTGTGACCGGCAAACCCTGTGCCATCTGCCAGTAAAACCCTTCTACTAGTGGCTTTCAACTTCTAATCTCTGAAGCTGGGAAACACAGTAGGTAGAAAGGAGGGACAGAGCAGCAGCCTCAGCCCCCACAGCACGTTAGCATTAGCTGGGCTATGCCTGTGTGTGCAGGTGAGTGCAATGGTAGTGAGTGGTGCTGAGGATTGAACCAAGATTAAATCTTCATCCTCAGCCTTTTTTTTTTTTTTGACTTAGTGTCTGGCTCAGTTGACCAGACTGCACTCAGACTTGTGATTCTCCTGTCTCAGCCTCCCAGAGTCCTAGGATGACAGGTGTCCACCACCATGCCTGGCTCATCTGGGACATATTTAAATGCCAGGGCCTGGGCTACAATCTAAACCCACTGGACAAGAATGTCCGAAGACTTCTTTAAAGGCTCCACATGAACATGACGTGTGGCCAGTGTTGAGGAGCTGGATATTCTGTAGGAGAGGTCCTGATATCCCTAGGAGAACCACAGCTCGGCATCAGTGCCGAGCCCCCTGCCGCACGTGCCAAGAGGAAGGAGGCCTTCTTTAGAAGAGGGATGAACAGGAAGCTACCCAGCATCACTGAATCCGCCAATGCTTACTGTGTACCTGCCAGGTGCCTGGCATGGCTACAGATATTGGGACTGCCCCCATCGACAAAGCACAGCCTCTAGCTTGGTCACACGGACTTGCAAGCCAGAAAGCACAGACACAAGGAAGGTTTCCCACTGCACTTATGCAAGCGGGTCTCAGCCTCGCTACACGATAGAAATTACCTGGAGAGCTGTTACCACATTCAAATACGTGGGTCCCACTGGACACCAATTTAGCACAATATTTGACAAGGCCATCAGTATTTTGTAAAAGCTTTCCAAATGCTTCCAATATGGGGCCAGAGGTGACAACCACTGGTGTAGACTCCAAGCCCATGGAGGGCCCTGGACCTGGCCCCAAACACATTTTAGAGTCTTGCAAAGCACTTTCTGGTGCTTGGAGTATTCAGAAATCCCTTTTTCTCCTCTCCAGTAACACCCTGTACTGTGTATATGCAACAGGCACCTTAGGAGATGACCGATAAATGTAGATGGCTGAGGGAGAAATGATGTCACCAGGTAAGATCCTGACAGCTAGAAGAAAATGGACTCTTTTGCCTCCTTAGGACAGAGACGAAAAGTCCAAAAGTCTGAAATTTGGTCAGAGGTAAAAAAAAAAAAAAAAAAGAGAACCAGCCTCACCCCGCCCTGTCCTCATCTTTGTCCCAGTCTCCGTCCCCTAAATCCTTTCCTGGTGACTGTCTCTTGATTATCCTTACGTAGAATTAGTCCTCTCTTCTAATAACAGCATCCCAGTGTATTCCCTTGGGAAACCACTCTCAAGTGGTGTGTGTGTGTGTGTGTGTGTGTGTGTGTGTGTGTGTGGTGCTGGGACTCAGGGCCTCAGGGCCTGGTAAGCATGCGTTCCACTTCAGTGCTGTACCCCCAGGCCCTAGAAAGCCATGCAGTGGCCCCACCATACTCCCCCCCCCCCACCCGTCAACAAAGAAGAAATAAAAGAGCCAGACTAGGGGAACCAGGGTGTTACGTCCTCTGGCTTATGAGACCCACTAATGCAGGGACCATGTCTGCCCCCTGAGCAGCCTTCTGCTCAATGGACACGTAGATAAACGGAGGGCGATTAGATGGAATGAATATTTGGCTGGGTAGACAGAGGCTGTGACGCTGCTTGTCTGGTTAAGAGCCCTCGATTTTCCTTTAAGGATCCTCTTCTCTGAGCCTTACCCTGACCACCCAACTGCTAGCATAAGAACCTAAATTCTTACCCTCCTGTCTTCCTTTCAGCTACTCAATAAAGATAAGAATAAAGGGACAATTGCTTTGTAAGGGCTACACGAACTTCGGCCTTAGGCAGCATCATTTGAGACATTTTAAGTAAAACCCTAGCTACCTTGTCCGCTCCTCTGAACAGTGGCATCTTCGCAGAGCTCCGAGGACTTGCAGCTTGCACTAAAGCACCCTGAGTAGTGCGTTCAAGGGAAGGAGTTCAGCCCAGGCCCTGGCGCAGAGCAGAGGCCCTGGAGCCCCACTGAGAGCGCCTGCTTCTCTAGAGGCCAGGCTGGAGGGTGGGGCTTTAGGTCGGGGAAGGCATAATTTCAAGTCCAAAATAAATACGGTGCTCTCAGGAGTAAGGTCCAGGAGCAGAATGCGTGGGTTTTATGCATCAAGTGGCCAGCCCAGGTGGGGGTGGGGTGGCGACCTTGACAGAGCCACCTCTGTCCACCTTCTCTATGCCCTGCAGCGGACCCCGTGCAGTAGTGACCCTGGCCTTTACATTTGTCCCCAGCCTCTCTGATGAAGTGTAGCGGAAAACTAATGTAGCCACTGGGAATTTGAAACTTCCAGCAAATGCTGGTGCTGTTTGACCCTGACACCGGAATACAGCTCCATCCAAGCAGCCTGGGTCCCAAGACATCATTACAAATGGAGAGACAACCATGAAAGGGAAGGAGGAGGTAGGGGCAGACGGAAGGAACCAGAGCAGACAGAGTTGAGAGACAGCTTCATTAGATGGAAGAGTTTGAAGCTAGGATCACAAAGCTGAGAGGAAGATACCCAAGGAACAGTGAGGGGGAAAACCTAAAAGACAGGTGAGGATGTACAGCATGCGCAAAGGCCCTGGGGCCCCTCAGCAGGACGTGCTGAGGGTCTGAAAGAAGACTTGGGTGACAAGTGCTCAGTGGTAGCCTGCAGGCGGGGCCTCCTGCCCCCAGCTCCATCCTGCTGTCTACCTTCTGGCCTAAAGCTCATTTTAGCTACAACCTAGGACTGTCCCAGAAAATCTGGGTTCACACCTCCAGATGCCAATCCAATGTCTCCTCTGGGTATCTGAGTGGCATCTCAAAACCAAACCCCTCTGTCCTCTGAGCCGCCCTACACCACTCCTCCCCAGCTCACATAGCACCCCCTTGCTCCCCCAGCTCCCTGCCACAGTACAAGGAGCCACCTGTGCTCCTGCTCCTTCTCCCACCGACTTGACCTCACAAACTGTGTAACTCGAGCCCAGCCATCCCTTAGCTCACCAAGTCCCACCGCCCACCCCAGTAACCCAAGCTGGCGTTCACCACCTCTCACCTGGACGGTGCGGCGCTCCCCACACCTGCCACCTCTATGGTCGCCCAAACACGAAGTGCCCAGAAAAACCCTTGAAGCACAAAGATTCAGGAAACTAACTGCCAGTGGCTTCCTATGACACTCAGAGGCCAGGATACCAGGCCCTATGTCAGCTGTCCTCGCCCCACCTCTCTCTGGCACCCTGTGCGCACCCCCTCTCACCCCCACCGCTGCCCTGATCATCCACGTGCCCCTGGAAATGCCCAGCAGGACCTCATCATGGGAGCCTTTGGTCAGTCTGAGGCTGTCCCATACCTCCATGCATATTTGTCAGTTCCTCAAAACAGAGCTTCCCTGCGTTGGCAGCTTCTGCGCCCCTCCCTGCTTTCCGTCCTGCAGGACCCTTACCCCTACAGTATCTCTTATCCCTTTGGATATCGGTCCATCTTCTTATTGTTGCTTTCTTGAATTTGAATGTAAGCCCCAAGAGCACAGGGGGATTTGTCTGTTTTCTATTTGATCTATCTATCTATCCATCCATCTATCTAAATATACTAAGTTGGCCAGAATCAGCAAACAAAACACACCCAGTTAAATCTACATTTTAGAAAATGAGTGCTTTTTTAGTCTGAGTATGTTCCAAATATATGGGGGATATTTAAGCTAAAAAATTATTCGCTGTGTATCAGGAGTTAAAATTTAACTGGGCCTGTCTTTTTCTGGTAACACTGGCTGCACCACCAGATCCCCAAACAGTACTGAGGATATAGTAGAACTCACCACAGAGTAGCTGAGGACAAGATGGAAGGCTGGGGTTGACG